GCAGTGGAAAGAACGATTCGCGAGATTGGTTGCTGTCTATCGCTGGCAACGACGGGTGCGCAGCAGGTGTTTTCGCAGGACGAGCGGTCAGACAAAAGATTTGGCGGACATCTTTTTTCTTGATGCTGCTCTTTTTCTTCCGGCGACCCCTGCCACGACCGACCCCGTTGAACTTGCAGGCGGCTTGGTGGATGTGGTGCATGGAGCTATGTTGACGTACGGGTCCAAGCCTATAAGATGGGCAAGTCAAGCATCCTCACCGCCCCTGGACCACTACATGGGCTAAGGCTTAGGCAGCAGTTGGAGTCTAGCAGCGAGATGGTGATCGAGTCGGCGAGGTGGCGGGTGAAGGTGCATGTTGTTGGCGAGTACAAGTACCTTGGTACCATGCTGGACGTCTCTGGTACGCTGGGTCTGCGAGCGTGTCGGCCACTCCTGACGAAACAGGTCGCCTTGGCGCCGATCCGCAGCATGTGCTAGCTTTTTGACGGCATGACGTTTCCAGCCGAGATCAACCTCATTGATGCGACGGCGAACGTGCACTTGTTCTATTTGGTGGAGGTCTTGGAGGTTGCTTCAACTTGAAACTGCGCGCGTGCAGTCCTACAGAGTCGTTCTGGGTCGACAGCACCACCGTGGAACCGTACACCACAGTGGTGCTGCACGACGCGTTCCGTTACAGGTGGTCATCCGAAAGAGACGGCTTAATTACTTCAGCGCATTGTTCGTGGCGGCGCCTTCCATGCTCTGGTTCTTGTTGGACCAGGTGGCTTCGGTACCAGGCTCATGGAAGGCGCTGCTCAAGCAGGATCTGAACTGGCGCACCTCATATGATGTTGACGGTGCTCGGAGAGATCGGCACTTGCGCCGATGGTTCATGTGCGCGCAGAACGGCTCGAAAACATTTTAGAATTAGATCAAGCGGGCTTGGGAGGGGTTTACCCACAGCAGCATAATTGGAGCAGCGACGTCTTCAACGATCTAGAGGTGAAAAACGTGGTCAGCAAGAGATGGTCACGTGGTTTGTTTGCTACATATTCGGTTGGACGTGATCATCGATACCAGCTTGGCGTCAGCATCAGCTCGACCACCGGCCGATCGACTCGGCGCAGCTAATGGCGCGAGGTGCGCAGTGCGGGGCTTGCGGTGCAGCTCTCGGTGACTGCTCTAACCTGTTGCGCCATCTACGATGTCCAGGTAAGGCTTGTTTGAACTATCTGATCGAACAGGACAACGCACTACTGACAGAGGAAGCGGAACAATTTCGGCAGCAGGATTTGGCACGGAAGCGCCTACATATTCAAAAAGGCTACAACTACCGACGCGTCTTACGGCGTGCGCACCATGCAGTGCAGTGGGGCGGACGGGGGGCACTGCGCCGGCCAGCCCGACCGCCGGCAGTCCATTCGGCAGTCGAGACCCCAGTTCCACAGCTACGTAGATGACATCATGGACTGCATCGTTGCAGGAAGTTGCTTCATATCTATGCTGGCGGTCTGGCGGCTCAGGGTGTGCTCTCACGGGCGTGTGCAATTACCTTTGATGAAGCAGTTCGGATTACTATGTGCGACGAGCAGGGCAACCCGGGGAAGCTGGATGCCGCGGAGATGATCGCCACCGCGGAGTACTATGCGAAAGGCGCAGTGGCAGGCCTGGCGATTTCTTCCTCTACGGCCACGAGGGGGCGCTTCGACGCCGAGCAAAGCCGTCGCAACCCTCTGCGACCAGACAACCTTCGCGGGGTATTCCAACGCTGGGCGAGGCAGCCAGGCTGCGACCACGTGCTGAGAATGCCCTACTACGTTCGGTTTGGCTCATGCTTCAAGCTGCGCGGTGTGCTGGAGCGCCCGCGTGTTAGGTGATTTCTCGTGCAGACTTGGAAATGATTGGCAGCGTGGATCCTGAGTTGGGCAATTCTATCGGCTGTGGGTTTCGAATGGTGAGGGTAGATATTTGCATGGTGGGCTCTGTAGGCAAGTGCCCGACGGCGGTCGTCTTCGCGCGCGTGGTTTTGCATCTGGATGTTGAGAGGTGCCACTGTGGGCCCTGGCGGCTTGGCCTGCTGGCCTCGCCCGCGTGCTTGCGCGGGCACTTGCTGACGCCGCCGCCCCTGTGCAGGTGGCTGCTGCTCGCAGTGGGCGAGGGCCTGCGGCTCTGCGGCCGCCGCTCTAAGGAGGAGGATGAGGATCGATTCGGAAGGAGTTCGAGTCAGAGTCGGGCGGTGGCTTGCGTGGGCAGTGCGCGGGGGTCGGAGGCGCAGGGGGTGTTTGTGGCTGAAACATGCTGCAATAACCTCCCCGCCTTCCGCCCTGCCGGGCCTCTCGCTCCCGCCCAACATCTTATTCGAGTGCGCGTCTTCCTTGCCACCCCTCCTCGACTGCGTGATGCGCGCCTTATTTAGGGGCGACGCGACAAATGGGGCGAATGGGGGTCGCGTGGGGCTCCCCTTGTCGCTCGCCCCGAACTTTGTCTCGCCCTCCTCGTCGCCCACCTCTGGTCC